ATTTTCTACCCATATTTCCATATACTTTTGAAAATCTCGTTTGCAAGCAAGGCCTTAATCTTCTCACATACCCAGCCGTTTGCTTTAGTCTCAGTCCTGTCAGATTCATTTTACTGTTTCATTCATGAAAATGCAACAACCCAATAATAAGTTAAGATTGTTTGCTTTCAGGAGACATAAGGCTGCTACAAGATTTGCGCGTCAAAAAGACGGGATTTTAAGATTAATCGGTTATGAGAAAACCATTTTTGTTTAATCTCGTTAAGATTTTCTTTGTAAAGACGGATTAACACAGTACGATTTTTCGTCATGCTTGGTGAATATGTATCGACCGTGCAACTTCCTCACGACTATGAATTTATGGCAGCTAAAACTTGGCGTCATCATTTTGGGTGCGACAGTTGCGAAAAAAATCGTACCATGCAAAGTCAACCTTACTCGGATAGAAGTGTCGTTGATTAGCTCGAAGCCTCAAATATTTCAAAGCTAAAATTCTTACTCAATCAAGCCCTAGTACTTAGTCGTAAGGCAGTAGATTGCAAATATATTCACTCAACGTCGTTAGAGTGCATACTATATATCCGTGAAAAAGCTTTGTTAGAAATTGACATATTTGTAAGTTCAGTAGACCTCAGTAGACTTACAAACTTTTGCACTAATTTGTATAATTCTGGTAGTCTTTAACTTTTTAACGAATACATGGTAAGCAATGTAGTGGCCTATTTGAGTGGTATATGGGAATTTAAGCTTCTCGTTTACGGCAAACGTGAAACGTAAGTCGACCATTAAAAAATTCTTTAAAATTAGTGAAAAGGAATCGCAAAAATCGAGACCAAATGTTTTCTGTAGATGGAGAATCCTTTGTTCAATGTTTTGTGACGTTTTTGAGCCGATCGAGTCATTCTTGTACCGTCGAGGCAAGATTCTTTTTACGGTCAAATTGAAACCCAATTGAACCAGTATGATCGAGTCTTCGCAAAATTCCAAAGCCTCCGTCTCTCTATGCACCAGTGTTATGCTGGCTCCATCTGCTCAAAAACAGCACACAAAACATTGAACAGAGGATTCTCCATCTACAGAAAAAGTTTGGTTTCGAAAATTTACCTCAGAATGGAAATATAACGAAAAACGTATCTCTTTACCCTACCGTTCTTAGTAAATTTGCCCCCAAAGCAATATTGCGTCGGAAACCGTGAACTTGTCTATTGAAATCCCACGAGCCAAAACTAACCTGGTACCGTTGTGGTCGGTATGTCACCTCTTAATACAGACGTCAAGCTCAGCAAAATCAAAATAGCAAAAGCAGTTACTCTTATCATGTTGATACTAAAGGGTTATACGTGTAAAGATTGTCCTTCTAGGCTATAGAAACAAAAGTTACCATGACGACGAGCTTTACTCGACTTTGAAATGCCCAGCGGGAACCCGCCCATCATTCAGCGGTTAACAACATTACCTTGTGTAATGCAATTAGTAAGTATTCAGTCACTAGTACTTCGTCTCTCTCGGAAATAGTTCACCGGTTTGCACTGGGCTCCAGAAGACAACGCGACTGCATGTATTCCATGGTGCGTATACAGTCAATTCAAAAAACGTTGTCGTCGACCGGCTCAAGCCTACGCGACTGGACCGAAAGGAATATGGGTAAAAATCACTGAAGCGATTAAGAGCGACTGTCCAGAAATATCGAGCACGGGGCGGCCAAAGTCAAAAAATAAAAGTCCTTCATTTTTGGTCTGTAGACACTATTCGAGAGTCCCTGTAACTGCGTTACAAATCGTTTTTGACAAACCAGTAATATCTGTATTACAAATCACAGTTTGACAAACCAGTAATATCTGCGTTACAAATCGTTTTTGACAAACCAGTAATATCTGCATTACAAATTACAGTTTGACAAACCAGTAATATCTGTATTACAAATCACAGTTTGAC